ATAGTAAAAACAGGGCAGAGTAAAATATTAAATATGATATGGTAGATAAGAATTCGAAGACAGCAATATTTTGTTCGGTTATCTAAGAGTAAGACAATGTACTCGTATGTGCATTAAGTTATAGAAACACTTTTTTCTGTTTCAGCGCTAATTCTCCCAGTTTTCAAGTTCATGCTCATCAATATAAATTTTAAGAAGTGCAATTTCAAAAACTTTCTAAAATCTATTTTTCCAATTTCTGATCACGGTACTTTTATTCCCACATAATACTAAAGGCTTTTATTTTTTTAAGAATCCAGTCCTTTGCTTAGATAGCTGACCTGCCCCTCTGCAAGCATCAATGCTATTTCCCTTGCCTGTCCTGTTAGTTTCCAAGGATCATGAGGATCCCCAATAAGCTGCTAATGTGAGCGACGTGGAAACATCTAAACCCTTGGTTTCTGACGGATTGCAGTTGTTTCCATGCTGTATTCAGTAACCGCATGGGTGTAGAATCATAAGAATATCGTTGTTGGTTTTGAATTGTTCAGACAACAAGGACGCGAAAAGTGTGAGTTCAGAGTAGGATGGGACTTGATAGCTATATTATATTCACACACGTGTGAACCCCCAAAATTATCTGTCTCATTATCTTTCCCTCTTCCTCCAGTTTGGGTTTACACAAGGTTTAGCTTAAAAGTTTCTCATTTCTCATATATTACAGTGTCTGTCTTACATATCTAAGACACAAAGATGAACCACAGAGGTGGAGGAGTCATGGGATCCTGTTCCTACCATCCTCAAGGGACGTTGATCGTATACAGCTTTTCCAGACAGAGGTGCCTGTTTGTGTCTTCGACAAAACCTGTAAGGTAAGCAATACTAGCCCAAAGTATAGCATACCCTTAAATTGATTATTTCATCCGCAAGAATAGCAAGATACTGAAGGATGAAGAAGAACATGTGTGCATGCCATTGTTATTCAAATAATCGAGTGGATTCCGAACAAGCAAGACTTTTGTCCCTTTGTTATCTTTTTTTTTCGTTTAGTGTTCACCGAATCTAACAAGCAGTTAGTCAATGGACATTAGCCCAAACCATGTTTGTGGGTATGAAAGCTAAAAGTCTGGTTTTGAATAAATAGTGTGATATCAGGTAACATGAACAAAATGTAGATCCGTCATAATGTCAGCATTTCCGTATGAAATAATGCCAGTCTTGTGATTTCTCTTTTCTTTCTTCCATGTCTTTTCTTTGAACTGACATTTGAGTAAAAAATGAACTAGGAGAGAAAAGGGGGGG